AAAACTGGATCACTCTGGGTGATTCGGCAGTTCTAGAGAAAGTTTTAGACCGGCCATCTGAAGCAACGCCTCTTTAACCCATCAAAGATTTTGACACGTCGTCAAATCCTTTTATAACCTGCGAAGCTGATACAGCAACAGTTCCTGCAAACAAGCTTATATTGTTTAGACTCTTTAAGAGTCCCAGACGCGCGGTACCATCCGTCTGTTGTGACCTGAAGACAACTCTAAGACCGGTTTAGTGGGGCCACAGTTTCTTCTACGGACCTCGGTGCCTGGAAGTCCGAGGACTTCGACATTCCAGATCTATCACGAGGGTCTTCGAGTGGGTATGTAGACATGATAGATGTGTTTTGATAACAACCAACTTCATAGCTTAACGCAAACCAAATTCTTTTACATCCAGAACTCAGCTCTCCTAGATAAGGAGGTTCTGACTAACATCGCATTGACACATAGATTTCATACATCACATCTAGCTCCATCCATCACAGTAAATGTTTAGTTAACTTGTCATGTTTTAATTGTTTGTAAAATAAATTCTTACTTTTATAAACCTGACTGTTTTCTGAATCAAAACAAAGTGTGTACGATCCCCTGATGAAGCAAGAACCCTAGATCTTCTGATTAAAAACCGTAAAGACCAAGCAGGGTTGATATTTTATATTTAAAGAGTATCACAGCTTATTGGTCATAAGTAGAGGTAATATATTTATTGAGCTCTTAAAGCACTCAGTTTGCCAACCCTACATATTTCTGATAATAAATTGAACAAAATGTCTTAAATGATTTTAAAACAAAAACTACAGGGAAAAACAATACCAGTATCGGTATCGGTAAAAGTTAACCGATAACGATGCAGTTGCCTGAAAAGTGGCTTCACTGTAACTTGTCATTTCTGTTCACCTAATATTTTAGTTTTGTGATCATTTCTATTAATATATTTTATTTTTATCTACCTCACAGTCTTTTCCTGTTGAAAGCAGAGAAGAAAATAAAATATGTATTCCAATTCATTGCAGTTTTTGTGTGGTAGAAGTATTGGTGAGTACTCAGATCCAAATATCGGTATCGTATCGTTTTGGAAAAAGTGTTGTTGTTGCATCCCTAGTCAGAATAGTTCGGATCTAAAATCTATTTAATTTCATATAAGCCATTGACAAAGTTTAGTTTCCGTAGTGTGCTGGTTCAGTGTTTTTAGACCTTCTGGTCAGATTGCTTCTGTAGTATAATTAGAAACATTTAAAAGGTATCAGTGGCTTTTTTATTGACAATCATTGAGTTAATACATAGGTTAATACAGAGGTGTTACGTTCCGTGTCCCTTTTCGGCCACAAGATGGCCTCAGTGGCCTTTGCCTCGCCTGTCTCCCGGTGTACCAGGTGTCTCCAATCGCTCACAATCAGGGAGTAGCTGTTAAAAGCTGCTCTCCTGCACACAGTCTTTGAGAAGGTCCAAGGGTAGTATAGACTCGGCTTAGTCTGTGCTGTTCTCTTCTCCTCGTTCGCTGTTGACTTGTTTGCTTGGTAGACTTTGGACTTCTGACTCGTTTTGATATTCGGATTTGGCAGTAGCTCGTGTGATAATCTGACTTCGGACCGGCATTCTGACCTCGATTTAGGATCTCCCCTTTTGGATAAAATTTGATATTCTCTGTTGTTTATCCCCATCCCCATCTGGGTTGGTGCTTTACGTTATCTCCTTTTTGAATATTGCTCCTTCGGTTTTGTACATAATATTGTTTTTAGGTTCTTTGTAAATATTCCACACGTTTTGTAATAAAATCCTTTGTTTTAAGCGACACAGCACCCTGATTATTATTTCACCCTCACACTAATTTTATTACTCCCCTCCTCATCTCTCCTAGAGAGTCGGGGACGTAATAGAGGTGCTATTTCTCTGTGACTCGTTATGTCATGCTGTCAGTCAGCTTCTGGTGCAGGTGCTGGATCCTGACTGGAACTGTGGATTTTGTTTGTCTACCCTCACTTATGGTATAAAGGTCTGGATAGTTTTCTGGACCCAACATGTTCCCTGAGCTACTTTACTTTAGCCTTTTGGCCTGGTGCACCATTGTGCTGTTCTTGGACGTTTGGGAGGAGTTCCTCAGGGAGGATGTTTAGTTGCCATTTATTTATGGCTGTTGTGAGGCTAAACTGTGAGTGAGCCCACTCCCTCGGCTGAGAAGCACCTCCACACACGAATGGTATCAGGATGTTGGCTGTTGGCAGGACATGGCCCTGATGAAACCCTTTTTTCTCCAGAAAATCATTTTCAGGTTCAGCTCATTTCTCTGTGATATTTAGACACGTGATATTTAGACACTTAGGATGTTGAACTCATGGTTACAGTCCACATGTCAAAATGAGTCATTTTACATGTTCAGCCTTGTTTCACAAGTCTAATTGTATCAAACGCATTGGCAGTCATTACTTGATCCATGCTCAGATCCATCAGTAATGCTATTGCTCTGTATGGTTTCTACATTTAGCCTGCATGAGCATCCAAATCCAAATATTATTCCCGTCTTTGTCTGCCACATTAATCCCTCCTTCCCAAGCTGTTCTCATCATTTTCTCAGTTAAGCTTCCAAAATTAACCCTAATCCCACCCAATCGCCCTGTTGTTCCAAGCCCATCCTCTCTGTTTTTGTGGTGTTTTCTAAGAGTGAAATTTGAAACTCCAACAATACAAAGCCTCTCAGAAGGACTTTGTGATTATGAAGTGGCGGCTGTTGTCTTTAAGACAAGCAGGAGTGAAGGAGGAGATAAGGATTATGAGGATCCTTTTAATAACTTTTCCCACTCATTAATCTCTGTGGAGGGACACTATGCTCTAAATGCTAATGCCCAATAAACATGTCCGCTGCACAGATGTGCTCAACATTGAGTGGTCTTAAAGCTTATTTCCGTCTTTTATCCTTCACTTGTCCACAATCTCCCATTTGGGATTGGGTTCTTCCTGTTTAATGTGGTCCAATCAGCCTTAAGTTTTTCCTAAACTGGTAACTCATAAACTGAACCAAGGACAAACACTTAAAATAACTTTGAGATATCAGGAGTATGTATGTAAAAGAGAATGGTTTCTCAATCCTCTCACCTAGTTAAATAAAGTTTTAATAAATAAAATAAATAAATATGTAGGAGTCAGATACAGCAGTATCATTCTGATGACCTGAAAGTGTATACCACTGATGGGGACATGGAGCTGTAGGCTGTATCCAATCAGGGACCCATGAGCCAACGGGAAGGGGCAGCTGCTCCTCCTACAGGTAAGAGGGGGTTATGTGCTAATTTATCTTATGACACAGCTTTTTAAGACTTATTGTTTTAGGCACATTATTCCCAAAACCAAACACTGAAAGAAAAGCCATGAAAGATTTTTTTCCCATGTTTGGAGTGATTGTAAGCCCTCGTGGCAGCAAAAAATTATGCAAAAGGTCAGTTTAGCAAATTCTGTCCCATTTAAAAATTCTTCTGATAAATGTGGTAGGTTGACTTTTCAGTTCATCTGATGTACAGTGGGGTGTGAAAGTTTGGGCAGCCTTGTTAATCTTCATGATTTTCCTGTATAAATTGTTGGTTGTTCCAATAAAAAATTCAGTTCAATATATCATTTAGGAGACACACACAGTGATATTTTGAGCACTGGTCACACAGCCCACAGCATGATGGAACCACCACCATGTTTTACTGTAGGTAGCAGGTGGTTTTCTGGGAATGCAGCGTTTTTTTTCCTCCATGCATAATCCCCCTTGTTATGCCCAAATAACTCAGTTTTAGTATCATCAGTCCACAGCACCTTATTCCTAGATGAAGCTGGCTTGTCCAAATGTGCTTCAGCATACCTCAAGCAGCTCCGTTTGTTCTGTGAATGGAGAAAAGGCTTCCTCTGCATCACTCTCACATACAGCATCTCCTTGTGTAAAGTGCACTGAATAGTTCAACGATGCACAGTGACTCCACCTGCAGCAAGAGGATGCTGTAGGCCTTTGGTGCTGGTCTGTGGGTTGACTGACTGTTCTCCCCATTCTTTGCTTCTGTTTTCTTGGTCTCTTACTGTTCCTGTGGTCTTCCATTTCCTCAATATGTTCCTAATTGTGGAAACAGACAGCTGAAATCTCTGAGACAGCTTTCTCCTTCCCCTATACCAGGGGTATTCAGTTATGGGCCTGGAGGACCAGTATCCAGCACATTTTAGTTTTAACTCTGCTTCAACACACCTGATTCAATCAGCAGGTGATTAACAGGCTTCTGCAGAGCCTGATGAGCTTCTGCACAGGTGATTCATCCACTGAATTGTGTGTGTTGGAGCAGATACCGGCTCTCTGGGCCTGCAATTGAATACCCCTGCCCTACACCATGATGGTGCACAATCTTTGTTTTCAGGTCATGTGAGTTGTTCTGAGACCCATGCTGCTACTCTTCAGAGAAGATTCAATGAGGGAAACTTACCATTGACCCCTTAAATACTCTCATAATTGGATTCACCTGTGTATAGAGGTCAAGGGTCACCGAGCTTACCAAACCAATTTTGAGTTCCAGTAATTACTTTTGAATCAATAAAATAACAACTTTATGCATCTGCCTAATTTTGTTTAAACAATTATTGCACACTTTCTGTAAATCCTAGTTTCCCTTCTCAAACATCACTGAGTGTCTCTCCTGTGATGTATTAAACTATTTTTTTTTTATTGTAACAACCAACAATTTATACAGGAAAATCATAAAGATTAACTAGGCTGCCCAAACTTTCACATCCTAACGTACGTCTACGACTGGTTATATAGTAGATCAGACCCAAGATGGCTGATCAACCTTCGCAAATATTAAATGCTTTAACTAAGTCTGTTTTACAGATAGAGAGTGAACTTGTTGTGGAAGCTGAGAGTCATTAACACGATAACAGAACATTAATAGAATTACTTTATCCATCGATGCATGGGAGTGATCTTTGATGAGTGCTTTGAAATGTCCAAACACAATCAATTCATTACATAGTAAGAAACAAAGTTAAACTTTAATTGAAATCTAATTTCATATTTTCTATCAAGCACAACCAGCTCTGGTCACTGGACTTCTGTGTTAAAACCAGCGTGGCAGCAAGGAATCCTGGGAGGTCTACACACGACTTTCACAGCAAACATTGATGGACAGAAAGAAAGTCTCGGATTTCCTGTAAAGCACCCACTGATCGGTTCAAATAAATCAATAAATAAATCCCAGATGTCAGTCTGCACAATCCTTTCACACCAGAGTCTTGTCTGTTTCAGGTTTTTGTCCCAGGGACAAATCAATCACTGGCCCTTTTCACGCGGCCCCTCTAGCTGAGCTTTAGTGTCATTTTAAAAGGAGGCGGAGTCAGTTATCTCTGACCCAAAAGCTCAACAGGTATAAATGAGTAAAGTGGAACTACAGCAGCACAGAGGTGCCTTCCTTCCTAGTTGTGCTGATGTGTGAAAAGGGCTTCAGACTATCCCTTCTAAAGAGACATGGTTGGTTTAACTATTTCATGCTGACCAAGGCGCAACCGTCAACGGTGGTGTCACCTGCCAGAGCACCTTGAGGAAAACAACGATGAAACAAACACTAAAGGTTTGCGTAATATCGACTTCTGTTCATATAATCCCTGTAGGCAAACTTTGCGTCCTTCTTGCTATGTGGGATCCGACCGAAGGGCGCGTGATCGTTGAAACACGAGTCAAAGACCTCATCCACGATTTTCTGAGCCTCCTCTCGGCTGATTTTCCTCACTGCCAGGATCGAGCGCAAGGCACGGCCCCGTACACATTCCTGTTAGAAAACAGTGAGTTAGAGTTTAGTTAGAGAGCAGAAACCCACCCATAAAGAGTCACATTTACCCCCCGGTTTAAGTACCTGGTGATGCTCCTTTAAGCCCAAGTGAAATCTGGAAGCCTCATTGGTAAAAGAGCAGTCTCCACTGAGGTTAGCTGCTCGAATCTAAAGAAAACCTTGAGTTGAGAATTTTAAAATCTGTTTTCATTAAAAGCCCTGATTCAAACAAACCATTAATCACCTCAGAGCAAGCCAGATGTCTGAAGTTGTTGAACCAGTCCACGTGGGCGCGACAGTGGTCGAAGGCATGGATGAGCTCGTGAGTCACTACCCGGTTCATATGAGCCTGCTGGTGGATGTTGTTCTGACACAAAACGACCTGGGAGACAAATCGCATCACCAGTTGAGATCTTAAGATGCAACACAACATAATAAAAGCTTTTCTTTCCTACCTGAGAGGAAGCTGCATCAAAGCCACCGCTAACCGACCCATCACAGTCCTCACAGGAGAAATGTCGGTCTTTAGACACTTTGCTGCCAACAGAAAAGGAAACTTTAGAGATTAAAGGTGTTGAACACTCGTTTAGTCAATACTTTTGTAGTAGTTTCAAGTAGGGACGAATGGCGTGTAAGTCGTACTGGGGGATTTCGTCTCAGATGGGCCTGAATCAGGGGAAGTACAAGTCAGCTGGAGGAGAAAGTAGCTTCAGACGACAGCTTTTGGACTATTATCTCTTTTGGACATCTCTCCTCTGATTGTCTAACCGCAGCATGACTCTGCTCCGCAACGCTGATCTTTTATCTCTGCAAATAACACAAGCCTGGAGGAGTTCTGCTGTATGGTGGAGTAGCTAATGCTAACCATTAGCTTCTACTAGCTGAGACATTCTCTGCGGTTTCCTGGATGCTACATCAACAACAGCTTTCCCCGTCGTGAGTCAAGAGCCCTTTTTAGAAGACACACAATGCCGGCAAATTAGTGTATTATTGCCGCCACGGTGTGTCTTATGAATGTGCCGTGGTGGCATGGCGTTGCGGGAATTTTGCGGCATTTGTGCAGCCACGCTTGGTGGTAATATATTACCGCAACACCGGGGGTTGTGAATGTATATTGTGCCTTGGTGCAACAGAGCAAGGTGTCATAATCACATGGGAAGTTACTGCTGAGCTCCGGCCGGCAACTATAACAAAATGGAAGTAAACACGAGCCGTAAGTTTTGCTTTTTAAACAGAACCAGCTGAAATGATAATCTGGATCGCCGCAGCGCTCCAGGAACTTCTCTCCCTTAGGGATGAAGGTCAGATCACCAGAGACTGCATGGGGACTGTGAAGGACACACACCTTTAGGAGCAGCTAGTGATGTAGATCTGTCAGGCTTTTCAAATCCTTGAGTTTCACCAACTATTTTCTTTCAGAAGCTAATGCAGGATAGGTGTAGGAGACCATTTTCATGTTCGGCCTGCGTGGTAAACTCTGAGTAACCGATTATAATCAGAAATAATAATGAAAAAAGTATTTTGCTGATGTCTAGGACTTAGAAAAATGATTTACTGGAGAAGAAAAGGCTCCACACCTTTAAAAGAAAAGTTTTAAGTTTGAATCAAAGAAAATATTCCATTTTGGCACAAGATCATCTAAAAATGGTGGTGGTACTATCATGGTTTGGGCTTGTTTATTCAATAAGCAAAATTATTGTTTGACTTCCCTTATAAAAATGCTACTATTCAGCACATTTGCATATGGACGACATTTAATAACTTTGTGCAACCACAGCAAAAGAAACCTCAGCTTGGTTTCTGTCACCACTCAAGCTCTGACGTGAGGTTTAAGGTAGCAGAGACTCAAAAGGTTCCACTCACCATCCTGAGTTGTTCATGGCACTGAGAAGGAGTTTGGCATACGGACCTGACAGAAACACACACACGGGTTAGACCTCTCTCTGAATGTGACAACAGAGCACCATACCTTTGCCCCTCACATGTGCTTAAAACGCTTTCAGTACCCAGACACTGACACGTTCATGACCTAACGTGACCTCTGCGCTGAGGTGTTTTATATTAAAGGAGTTCCAAAACTCACTGGTTTCCATTGCAACCTGTAACATGAATTGACACTTGTGGTTGAACGTGGTCAGGGCTTCTTTAAACGGCGACTTCTTGTGCATCCCTTCGTGTCTCTCCGGGAACAGCTCATATCCGTAATCCTCATCTTGTTTAGTCTGATCCATTGCTCTGGAGCTCTTTGATCTGGAAATGCCTGTTCAGCTGGTTAGCTCCCGTTAGCTAACAAGAGAGGTCATTGCTGTTCGGTGGGTGGATCACGTGATACAGTAGCTATGAAGGTATTCGTATGAGCTCATTTTTATACACCGAATATAAAATATAATTGTATAATATAAATGCATAATATATAAATGTTTAGAATGTTTTTTCGGTGTAGTTTATACAAGTCTATTTTTGAAGATGTTCTATTGAGAAAAGGTCGTTTACATCAAAGAAACGTTGTGGACACAACTACAGAACACTCAACGTAACACATTATGTTTTCAATGCATTTTTTATTTCTGAAGAATGATGTATAAGAATGCATTAATCAATTAATTAAGAAATCATGTGCGTTACGGGGCAACATAGTGGTTAAGTGACACGTTTAATTGCTGTTTCAGGTCTGTGTTAGAAGGGTATTTTGTGGGAATAGACGATCTTTGTTTACGTTCGTCTCACGTACCGCAAAGGCTGCTGGTAGTAACCAGCCGTCATGTATAGCTCGTCCCCGCTGCGTCTTTTGGAATTCTAGGGTGACCAAGGAAGGTCCCGCCTTTCTCGCCTCTGATTGGCTAGATGGGCTCTACTACGATTGGCTCTTTCATTTAGCAGCAAACCGTTTTCCCTTGCTAAGTGCAGACTGTCCTCTTGCCCGAGTTTTTTTTATATATAAATATTTTTTTTAGAAAATAAGAACTTGGCGCCATTCTGTCCTGTTTTGCAAACGTTTTTTGTTTCATTGATTAAACACTGAAAAACGTAAGAAGTGAACTTATAAATCTTGTATTTATCACACTGTGGGACTTACTTTATGTCTATGGCTCTAAAGCATTGAGGTTATCTTATTACAGCAGAGTACATAGGATACACCTGTGTGCCTGACCTGGGTATGACATATAATAAAACTGCCCTATTTTACCCAGCTGTGCGCAGCAGGTCTGTTTCTCGTCTGGAATAATGAAAACTGCTGAAAATAGGTCTAAATCATAATCAGCTTTGAATTAATTTCAATTAAATATACAGATTTAAACACATGAAAGATGTGTCCTCACTTTCATCCTGCTTGCTTAACAGCCTCAACCTATGAAAGTATTTCCAAATTGTTATCAAAAGGCATGATCATGAAAATACACCACCGATTACATCACAGATTTTATTGAACAAGTACAGAACTATGGAACTAGGATTGGGACAATATTCAGCGTAACTTGTACCAAGTTTTGTAACTGCAAACATGTTTCATCACATGTAACTTTGGATTCGTAACTTGTAACTTTGGATTCGTAACTTGTAACTTTGGATTCGTAACTTGTAACTTTGGATCCGTAACTTGTAATTCTCAATTCGTACTTGTATTCTTGTTTTGTAACAGGAACATTGTATTTTGTACATGTATTTTTTATTTTGTAAAAGCAAACATTCATTCAGAAACATGAAACTTTTGTTTTGTAACTAGCAGACTTCCAAACTGAAAAAATCTAAGTACAAGTTTCAAATCAAAACTCACAAAACACACATTTCATTCTACAGGTACAAACCTCACATCCTACAGTGTTACGGATCATTTTGTCTCGATTCTAGCGCCAGTGGGAGGAACTTGGGTGGAACCAATGAGAGCACGACTCTTAGCTACCAATCACGTTTCTCGAATTCCTGTCCAATCACTGGGAGAGGAGGGCAGGGTTTTGTCAGAGCCGTAAAGAGTTACGACACTCCAAGACTCCTATGGAATGGGGAAGTCACGTGGTTCACGTAGTGTCGAATAGTTCCAAACAGCCCCGCTGCTGCATTGACTGCAGTTCATTTCAACTATTCGGTGTTTCGGAAGGATTTTCTCCGGTAAGTTGATGAAATGTCATCATTTTGTTGCATTGTGAAGCGTTAGCTAACCGCTTCGTTGTCTCCTCACAGAACAAGGCTATCCCAGCATGCTTTGCGCGTCGGCTGTGGATTTTCAACAGGCAGAGAAAGGGGAGAGCTATGAAGTTTTAAACGTAAGTTTGTTAAAAACTAGCCGTAGAAACCTTAAGCTTAAAGCGGTTCCGTTTATAGACATTTTTCGTTTGTATATTTGTTCTTTAAATTACATTTTAGGCAGAAATCAGCCAGAGCGAGTTTGTATCGCGGGTCCCAGTTATTCCTGTGTGTGTGTGTGTGTGTGTGTGTGTGTGTGTGTGTGTGTGTGTGTGTGTGTGTGTGTGTAGCGAATTAAACTTGTCATTTGTTTTAAGGACAACGGAGCAAAGAAGCGTTTTTATTAAGCTTAGAGGTGGAGTGAAGCTGTTTACACACAACCACAGAAGTTCTTCTGTGAAAAGTAGTTTTACATTCAGGGATTTACACAGCTGACACGTTTTAATGAAGTAAAATGTTTGTGTGAAGAATATAATTTTTATCTTCTCGTGTGGATAAATGTAAAAATGTGTTTACTGCCTTTTTGTCACCTGTGGTCTCTGATTTTCTCTGTAGGACTGCAGGTGTCCAGGGTCAGGAGAGGCTTTACCTGTCCTGGGAGAGAGGCCTTCTACTGTCATCATGTTATTGTTATTTAGCTGTTTGATATTTGAACACATTTATTAAAACAAATACTAACTGAGAACTCTTTCTGGTCATTGATTTTATCACCAGTTTTATTATTACAGATGTTTTTTAACATGTTACATGAACAAAAAATGAAAAGATGGTAAGGAGACAAGATTATTTATAATAGGTTACACTTATTTACAGATCAAAACCAGTATGGACCAGTTATGTACGTTTAAAGCAGGATTAACCTGAGTGACTCTTCCTGGATCATTTATTTAAACTGAGTGAGCAGGAAGTCTTTAACAGTGCAGCTGGATCTGCTGCAGGAGGATCCAGACGTGGATGGAGGGCTGGAGCAGACCCGTGGCTGAAAGTTTCTGGTCAGAGGAACATCATACAGGACGGTCTGCAGAGAGAGCTTTGGGATGCTTCCTCTCACTGTCCACTCCATCGTCCATCTACAGGGCCTGCTGGGCTGGCTCAGACGACGGCTGTTACATCTCTGTGAATGACTTGCCTGTTAACAGTAGTGGTGGTCTGCTGGTACCTCCTGCAGGACTGAGCACCACTGACCTCCTCCACACACATCTTCCTCAGGCTCATCCTCCCGACCCACAACTTCACCAGCACAGAGGCAGATGTGCAGCACAGTGCATGCTGACCTGTAATAGATTAAATAAGAGTTTGGTTTTTTATAGAAAAATGTAAAACAAACATATAACCTGCAGTACACTGGTTCTGTTCAGTTTAAAGAAAAGCAGCAGGGAAAACTACAGAGAATTTACATTTTTAAGACAGATCTAATCATTATTAAGCTTAAGTTGAATAAACAAATGCACATTGAAAACACTTCAATGCTATTTTATTAAAAAGCCTGTTTTTTAAAACGTTTTACCCTCATTTGATGCAAAATAAGTTCTACGGTCCAATTTACATCAGAAAACATCCTGCTGCATTCAACATTTATAATGCATTTGGTTTATATTAATTACCTACATGATAATACTCTGTAGAAATGTGTTGTGTATGTTTAACAAGTTCATTCTGTAGCTTAAAACATACATGAAACCATCTAAAGTTAACATGTAAGTCCTGAAAGCTTCTAGAATAAACAAAGTTACTTTACCTGAAAACGTTTGTGAACAAACGCTGCTGCTGGACATGAAGCTGCTGAAGCTCCTTAATATTCCTGCTAGATTTTTGCTAGCTTTAGCATTTTTCCTTTGCGTGTAGCTGCCGCCACGGCTGTGACGGGACCTGCGGGTCACTGTAGAGGTGAAGGCTAGACTGTCCGAATTCAGCTGAATTCGAAAATGGAGCAGGAATATTAAGGAGCTGCAGCAGCTTCACGTCCATCAGCAGCGTTTGTTCACAAACGTTTTCAGGTAAAGTAACTTTGTTTATTCTAGAAGCTTTCAGGACTTACATGTTAACTTTAGATGGCTTCATGTATGTTTTAAGCTACAGAATGAACTTGTTAAACATACACAACACATTTCTACAGAGTATTATCGTGTAGGTAATTAATATAAACCAAATGCATTATAAATGTTGAATGCAGTAGGATGTTTTCTGATGTAAATTGGACCGTAGAACTTATTTTGCATCAAATGAGGGTAAAACGTTTTAAAAAACAGACTTTTTAATAAAATAGCATTGAAGTGTTTTCAATGTGCATTTGTTTATTCAACTTAAGCTTAATAATGATTAGATCTGTCTTAAAAATGTAAATTCTCTGTAGTTTTCCCTGCTGCTTTTCTTTAAACTGAACAGAAACAGTGTACTGCAAGTTATATGTTTGTTTTACATTTTTCTATAAAAAACCAAACTCTTATTTAATCTATTACAGGTCAGCATGCACTGTGCTGCACATCTGCCTCTGTGCTGGTGAAGTTGTGGGTCGGGAGGATGAGCCTGAGGAAGATGTGTGTGGAGGAGGTCAGTGGTGCTCAGTCCTGGAGGAGGTACCAGCAGACCACCACTACTGTTAACAGGCAAGTCATTCACAGAGATGTAACAGCTGTCGTCTGAGCCAGCCCAGCAGGCCCTGTAGATGGACGATGGAGTGGACAGTGAGAGGAAGCGTCCCAAAGCTCTCTCTGCAGACCGTCCTGTATGATGTTCCTCTGACCAGAAACTTTCAGCCACGGGTCTGCTCCAGCCCTCCATCCACGTCTGGATCCTCCTGCAGCAGATCCAGCTGCACTGTTAAAGACTTCCTGCTCACCCAGTTTAAATAAATGATCCAGGAAGAGTCACTCAGGTTAATCCTGCTTTAAACGTACATAACTGGTCCATACTGGTTTTATCTGTAAATAAGTGTAACCTATTATAAATAATCTTGTCTCCTTACCATCTTTTCATTTTCTGTTCATGTAACATGTTAAAAAACATCTGTAATAATAAAATTGGTGATAAAATCAATGACCAGAAAGAGTTCTCAGTTAGTATTTGTTTTAATAAATGTGTTCAAATATCAAACAGCTAAATAACAATAACATGATGACAGTAGAAGGCCTCTCTCCCAGGACAGGTAAAGCCTCTCCTGACCCTGGACACCTGCAGTCCTACAGAGAAAATCAGAGACCACAGGTGACAAAAAGGCAGTAAACACATTTTTACATTTATCCACACGAGAAGATAAAAATTATATTCTTCACACAAACATTTTACTTCATTAAAACGTGTCAGCTGTGTAAATCCCTGAATGTAAAACTACTTTTCACAGAAGAACTTCTGTGGTTGTGTGTAAACAGCTTCACTCCACCTCTAAGCTTAATAAAAACGCTTCTTTGCTCCGTTGTCCTTAAAACAAATGACAAGTTTAATTCGCTACACACACACACACACACACACACACACACACACACACACACACACACACACACACACACACACACACAGGAATAACTGGGACCCGCGATACAAACTCGTTCTGGCTGATTTCTGCCTAAAATGTAATTTAAAGAACAAATATACAAATGAAAAATGTCTATAAACGGAACCGCTTTAAGCTTTTTAGGTTTCTACGGCTAGTTTTTAACAAACTTACGTTTAAAACTTCATAGCTCTCCCCTTTCTCTGCCTGTTGAAAATCCACAGCCGGCGCGCAAAGCATGCTGGGATAGCCTTGTTCTGTGAGGAGACAACGAAGCGGTTAGCTAACGCTTCACAATGCAACAAAATGACATTTCATCAACTTACCGGAGAAAATCCTTCCGAAACACCGAATAGTTGAAATGAACTGCAGTCAATGCAGCAGCGGGGCTGTTTGGAACTATTCGACACTACGTGAACCACGTGACTTCCCCATTCCATAGGAGTCTTGGAGTGTCGTAACTCTTTACGGCTCTGACAAAACCCTGCCCTCCTCTCCCAGTGATTGGACAGGAATTCGAGAAACGTGATTGGTAGCTAAGAGTCGTGCTCTCATTGGTTCCACCCAAGTTCCTCCCACTGGCGCTAGAATCGAGACAAAATGATCCGTAACACTGTAGGATGTGAGGTTTGTACCTGTAGAATGAAATGTGTGTTTTGTGAGTTTTGATTTGAAACTTGTACTTAGATTTTTTCAATTTGGAAGTCTGCTAGTTACAAAACAAAAGTTTCATGTTTCTGAATGAATGTTTGCTTTTACAAAATAAAAAATACATGTACAAAATACAATGTTCCTGTTACAAAACAAGAATACAAGTACGAATTGAGAATTACAAGTTACGGATCCAAAGTTACAAGTTACGAATCCAAAGTTACAAGTTACGAATCCAAAGTTACATGTGATGAAACATGTTTGCAGTTACAAAACTTGGTACAAGTTACGCTGAATATTGTCCCAATCCTAGTTCCATACAGAACACCTGTGTGTGTGCGTGCGTGCGTGTGTGTGTGTGTGTGTGTGTGTGTGTGTGTGTGTGTGTGTGTGTGTGTGTGTGTGTGTGTGTGTGTGTGAACTACTAGCAGCTATGTCATCAGCAAACAACAGATTAGATGATCATTTGAGGGCATCCCTATTATTTTTAACGTGGCTTTTGAAAAGCTAACGTTAGCTTTCTCACAAAGACATATTTACCTCTGCTCAGATATCACAATCAATTGCTTTGCTTGCTTAGCTTTGCTCCACAGCGGCTGCAGCCAGGTGCTGTTGTAGCTTTTCAGGCAAGCGACGGCCGCCGCTGTTGTCTGCCGCCCCCGCGAATTTTCAGCCAATAGTAGTAGAGCCAATCTAGCCAATCAGAGGCGAGAAAGGCGGGACTTTCCTTGGTCACCCTAGATTTCCAAAAGACGTTTTCCCGCTGTTCGCCTATGGGATGCAACGTAGGAACGTGGCGGCCATCTTACCTCAGACAGCTGCCCCCTTTCTTGACACTGGGTTGTAAGGTGCATGTACTTTTTAAATAACTCTAACTTACTCAATTTTCAACCGATTTTCAAAAGATTTGATTTATTATAAACGCCAGAGATGTGTCTATGAAATAGGATGGGTTTGGCCCAGAAATACCTGTTATTTCACTCCACAAAGCATTTAACCTTTCATATATAACACATTTAATTGTAAGCTACAGTAACTTGAAGTATACATAGCCTATTATTATACTATATAGATCTAACTATATCTATATGTATATTCCTGGTTTGTGAAATAGGATTTGTTTAGAGATGAGATTTCCAGGTTATTTTGAGGTAAGGCCCACATTAACAGAACACTGATACAAAATGTGCACCCCAACAAATAAGACAACCGAGACCCAAATCACATCTGTCAGCCAGAACGGCCCAACAATAAAATTTAAACCAGCAAATTATTTTGTATTTTCACTATTTCTTAACTTTTGTTTTCTTATGTATTGACATTCATTTAATAATTATAAGCTCTTTGGAATTCTGAAAAAGTTAGGAAATAATCAAAAGATAGATAAGGTTAATAAATAAGATGGATTACAGTAATAAATATGTTAGATGGATAATGGATTGATCTTGTGAAGGAGATTTTTAACATTCATAAAACCAGATAAACAATGTATAGAAAAAGGTAGCAGCAGCAATGGAACAGCAGTTTCTAATTATTTTATTTAC